GGTCATTCAAACGATGGAAGCCATATGAACGTACTCAGTCTAAACTGCTCCCGTTTCGTTGGCTACTAAACATCATCAGAATTCCATGTTGGCCCCTGAGATGTCGGGGCCCTGCGTAAACTGCCGCATCTTCGCGTGACTTCATGTTATGCATGTAAACGACCACGAACGAATTATACACACATTTCATTATGCCAGTCTGAACCTACTCTACACATCTATCCTATTTTCCTTAGCAGTTTTTTCCCCTACGCGCTTTTTGAAAATGGCGGCACGTTGAACTCTGCCTCCATTTTCATTGTGGGAGTTTTTCTATCTGCCTACTTTCTAGTTTACCATTTATTGCAAAACATCGCCAAATATTGCCCTATCGGGACAATTTCTGCCGACATTATTGCAAATTTGTACATTCTACCTGCACACATCGCCATAATTTTTTCACGAAGCGCAGTTTGTATTGATAGTGCCTTCCTGGCGCTAACAAATATAAATTCCAAATTCATCTGTTTCAAGAAATCACGCACACGGAGAGAATTATTGTACATTGCTGTCAGGAAACACCCCTTAGTTGGCAGGTTTAGTGCTAGGTTTTCTTGTATTTCGCTCTGACACATGATTTCCTTCAGTTCATGTATACTGTAAATGTGCATGCCACTAATTCATTTTCCAATCCATTTGGAAGATTTTCAAAAGCCTTTTCTCCACCATTCAACTTTAGTATAAAGTAAATCTCTGTATTTTCCTTCAACGTAAGCAGACTGTTTCAGCTGTATGCAGACCTCATTACGCCCCCAAGTTGAGCACTGAACAAGTCACGTGCTGTTGTTGACGCGATTTGGTAGAAACTCTGTTCATCTTCTCAAAAACACTTATTTTTTCATTCTGGTTCTAACATAGCATAACAACTCCGCAGTTTGCCCCTGGGCAAACCTGCACGCATAGCGGTTGCGTCAACTCATTAATGCTAAACGGGTTCTCAAAAACTGCATTTCCTCATACGGGCAACGCATGGA